GGTTGGTTGGTTGGTTGGTTGGTTGGTTGGTTGGTTGGTTAATTGGATGCTTGGTTTGTTCTGTAGTGGTGTTGTGTTTTGGTGAGTGAGTTTAATGTGAGAGACTCTTTTTATCACCTCTGAGTGCCAGCAGTCATTTTTCAGTGGCTGCTGTGCAAAGGTTAATTTTTTTCTTAAGGACACTTCTTTAAACTTTTTAATGAAAAGGAGATAATTCAACAAAGCTAGCAAAACAAATTTTCCAAGTTACATCATCTACAAAATGATTTCAGTATAAAAACCAGCTGGTAAAGAGGTAACCTCCTTCTAAACTAAAAAAATAAAATAAAATAAGATAAACATGTTGGATTTACTTAACCTTGTTATGTCAAATGGTTTCACTTAACTGAGTTGAGTAAATTCAAAGTAATAAACTTGTGTTCTTTGGTTAGAAACTGGGTTTATTGCTTTGGATTTACTCAACTCAGTTAAGTGGAACCAGTTGACATAACGTTTAAGAAAAACCAACATTTCATTTCTTAGAGTGTAAAGGAGAGTTTGGATTTTTTTTTCAAGAAAGAAATTTCAGACATGATTTGTCTACAGGGGAGTGTAAAGAAGGACAAACGGACCTGATGACAGCTGATCCTTGAGTTATAACACAATAACACATTTATAGTTCATTTTTCATTTATTTTTTATTTTTTAGATGTAGAACTCTGGTTGGAGGATCCTTGCTGTGGAATACATTTTTAGAAACACTTATTTTTGGTGAGTTGGTTTTTATTTTTTAATTTTTTTCCTTTGCTCTAGTTTTCATGTGAGTCTCTGGGAAAATGGAGTAAAAACACTGCAGCATTCTTTCCTGAGCGGGCTTACTCTGTAAACCTTGAAGTGTAACTTTGCCTAAATGTCAGATACTGTATTTATTCATGTATAATACTAGAAATTAACTAAAAATCATCCATAAAGTAGGGGGGTGTTGTACACAGATTGTTGGTGATTAGATTTTTTTATGCTTTTTAAGCTCAAAAGATGATCGTATTAAACATGATACAATGCTGCGCTTCCAGATGCAGAGATCTGGAGATTGAAAAATAAATAAAATAAAAAATAAAACAGGTGTGAGTTTCTACAAAATTCCAAGCAGAGACTCCAAATAAACTAATGTGAACAGGTGTGAACAGGTGTGAACAGGTGTGAACAGGTGTGAACAGGTGTGAACAGGTGTGAACAGGTGTGAACAGACAACTCCATGGACTTTTTAAGAACTTATCTTTCAATTTATTTTACGTCAGAGCCGGCCTGTAGGGATGTTTGCTCGCTCCTCTCTGCTGCCTCCATTATTCCCCCAGCTCCTCTTGCATCATGTCAGAYTACTGCAGGTTTTTGTGACGTTTGCAACAAACAGGTAAATGTTCAAGGAGAGCGACGTGTGTGAAAGTGGTCCTGGCCTGTTGYAATTAGCTCTTTGTTTTTTTCACCATGAATTCTGAAGCAGTTAAAACAAGCTTTGACATAAAGTGATGGAAAGAAAAGCTGGAGCACAGACTGCAGTTAATGATGTTTACAGTTAATATTTGATAGAGCCGTCAAACAAATGGGTTTTTAACCTGGATTTAAAAGAACTCGGGGTTTCCACACTCTTACAGTTTTCTGGGAGTTTGTTCCGGATTAGTGGAGCATAAAAAACTGAACGSTGCCTCCATGTTTGGTTTTGATCCTGGGGATGCAGAGTAGACCTGAACCAGAACACCTGAGTGGTCTGGAGGTTTTGATACAACAAATCTGTCAGTGATTTATAAACTGTTTTAAAGTCTGTTCTCTGACACACAAAGAGTCAGTGAGGACGTCAGAACTCGTCAAAACTAAGTGGGTTTTGAGACTTTCTCAGCCCTGGTGAAGCGTTTTAGCTGAACGTTACAGACTCCACTGAGCTGAAGACCCCAGCTGTTCCCCCATCGACCGAGTCCACGAGCAGCCGCACTTATTGAAGAAACAAGAGATCAATATGAAATGCTACAAAGTACAACTGCTGTTCAGACGTGAAGCAGAACATCTGAAAGGTCTGGATAAGATAATCCATGAACGTAACAAACATTGTTCCAACTGTTGTTTCTTCACAGTAAACACTGTAAAACTGAACACTGTGGTAAAAAACATGGATTAGATATTTTATCGCTCAAATGAAGGACAAAAATGAAACATCAACTGTCTACATTGTTTTTATTATCATGTGAATTTATTATTTGAGAGAGTAAAACAATTAATTGTT